AGCCACCTAGTGTAGAAAGGTGGTAATTTCCAGGGGAGAGGTGAGAGACCCACTGGAGACCCTTACCCTATGGCCCAGGGATGCAGAGCCCTGAACAAAGAAGTGGCAGCAGGATGAGAGGTGAAGTGAGGCCTCTAGGCAGAAGAATTTTTAAGGGGACAGCCAGGCATGGTGCCTGGTTGGATGGGAGGGTGAAGAGAAGGTGAAGCCTTGGGGCAGCTGCTTGGCCAATGGCCACTGAGCCTGGAAATCACTCGTTTACATCTCTCAGTTCTTTAATTCTGTGAGTGGTATAATCTGTGGGTGTTTATTGTGTGGTTTTTTTTTTTTTTTTTTGCAGGGTACTTGAGAATTGCACCCTGATGCAGAGCCACATGCCCAGCCCTTTTATCTTTGAGACCTTAACTTGGGTTCCCCCTGCCTAAGCCTCCTGGGTATCTGGGCTTGTGGGTGTGAGCCACAATAGCGGCTCAGGTTATTATTTCAATGTTCCTCTTCATGTGGGAATGCATCTTTAAAAATGTTGTTTTGCCTGGGGGCCTGGGGATGTAGCTCAGTGGAAGAGCACCTGCCCAGCACGCCTGAGCTCTGGGTTCTATCCCAGCACCAGAAAACAAAACCACTTTTTGCTGAGGGCAGTAGTCCTTGTCTGTAATCCCAGCAAATTGGGAGGCTGAGGCAGGAGAATTAGAAGTTGGAGACCAGTCTGGGCCACTTAGGGAGACCCTGTCTCAAAAAAGTAGTGGGGGGATGTGGCTCAGTGGCAAAGCACTGGGACTCCAGTTTCAAGGCCCTGGATTGAACCCCAGCACTGGAAGAAAAAAACATTTATTTATTTATTTACTTTTAGTTGACAGGTCGTTTCTGGTGCAGGCAGCTTTCCTGAACACCTTTCCACAGTTTCTGTTTTGGCGCTCAGCAATGGTGAGATTCATTTGGGAACTACCTTTCCCCATAGATTTAATAATAGTTTCTGTAGATTTTAAAATGTAAATGGACAAAGCATGTCCTTGATGATGATCATGTACAGTCTTGAGTATTTTTCAAATTTCTTACGAGTACAGTTGATGTAGTTCAAGGCTTTAAAACATAATGGTCTCCATGGTTGAGCAGGTGCTGTGCACTGGGCTTAAACATGTCACCTCGTTCAGCCCTCACACTGGCTTTTATGAAATTATTCCCATTTAGAGATGATAAGGTGAGTCTCTGAGGGGCCAAGTGACTTGTTAAGGGTCACACAGCCAGGCCAGGCGCAGTGGTGCACGCTTGAATCACAGCGACTCAGGAGGCTGAGGCAGGAGGATCGCAAGTTCAAGAATAGCCTCAGCCAATTAGCAAGAAAAAATAAAAAGGAGTAAGGATGTGGCTCTGTGGTTAAGCACCTCTGAATTTAATCCCTGGTACCAAAAAAAAAAAAAAAAATCCCACAGCCAGTGCTGGCAGGGCTGGTCAAGGAGCTGTCTGGCTGCTGTGATACCCCCTCCTGTGGACACAGACTTCCCTTGACATAGTGCAGGGCCTCTCTTCTGCCACCCTCTGGGAAGTGGAGACCAGGCCAGCTTTGCTGTGCAGGGAAGCCAGGCCCTTTCACCTTGGCTGTGTGGGGCAGGGCTGAAGTCCTGCTGTGTCCTGAGCTTCTGGGACTCCTGAGTGCTGGGCTTCCCTGTGGGTTTCCTGCCTTTTCCTCTTGGAGACCCGCCTGTGAGAGGCCTTGGAGATCCTGGGAGAAGTCCAGCTGACAGGGCTTTCTGCATAGTGGCAGATTTCCTAGGACCTGTCACACCCACTGTGAATCAACCAGTTTGATTTGTGGCTTGGTTGATTCACTCACTGATTTATAAACAACTCATTTGCCCCTTAACATGTGCCAGGCACTCCCCTGACCTGTGCTGGTAGGGGCCTGGGAAAGGCTTCTGGGAGGAAGACCAGCGAAGAACACTGTTGGCTGAGGGGTGTCCCAGGACGGGCTTTGGGAAGGAGCACTGATTTGGAGTGACACTTCCCACCTAAGCTTCCAGGTGCATGGACACCTGGGTTTCCTCCTCTGTAAATAGGGAGAGCTGTCCCCACTGCAGATTGCTGTGCTATTCCTTAAAATATTAACTTCCAGGCTGGAGGTGTGGCTCAGAGGTTGAGCCTTGCCTAGGGTGCCCAAGGCCCG